CAAGGCGGGATCAGTCCTTGAAGAGGGACATCATGCTTGGGAGGGTGGAGGGACAGCACAGAAGAGGAATACCCTCGATGAGATTAATTGATTCAATCACTGGGGTAATGGGTATAGATAGGTGTGTTGGAGACAATAAGATTGGCAAGGGATAGAGCAGGGTTTAGGGCTGTTGTCTATAGGGTCGCTATGAGTCACAGGCAACTCGACAGCACATAACAACAACAACATTCTTAAATGTACAACAGGCTCCAAGACAACACTTCGTTTTAACTACAGGTGGCAACAGATGTTATAGCAGAGAATCAAGATGTCTTAAACAGGAACGGAAGTAAGGTTCACCATTACCTTAGTCACAAAGAACAGCTTATTTTTTTGCCAGATTTCTTAATTCCACCTGTGGCCAGGGAACCTTTGCCTGTGGCCTTCACTTTTAGCTCCTCGAGTGTCTTCTGATCTTCTTTTTGCTTCTGCTTTAAAGCCTTATGTTCCTCATTCATTTTCTTGGTCTGCTTCTTGGACTGTTTCAGAGGCTCCTTCTTGTACCTTTGAGGCCAGACATGGCGCCAGCCACTCCTTCCCCAGATCTCCATTTCTGTTTTTTTAATGTTGAGATGTTACCCGTATTGAAGACTGCAGTCTCTGTTCCTCTGCACAAGCACCAAAGGTCCCCCTCACTTTCAGCAAGCAAAGTTGTGTTGTCTGCATAATGCAGGTTGTTGATTAGTCATCCTTCAATCCTGATTCCACATTCCTCCTCATAGAGCCCAGCCTCCTAGATAATCTGTTCTGAATTTAGATTGAAAAAGTATAGAGATAGGACATATCCCTGCTTTACACCCTTCCTGATTTTGAATCATGCAGGCTTTCCTTGCTCTGTTCTGATGTATATGGGTATAATTAAGTGTTCTGGAATTCCCATTCTTCTCAGTATTAAGCTATAGTTTGTTGTGATCCACACAGTCAAATGACTTTGCATAGACTTTGTTTTGATCCACACAATCAAATGCCTTTCATCACATTTTAAAATTTATCTGCTACATTAAACATTGCCAATTAGCTATGTGATAGCAGATTCTCTTGCTTATTCACTTCTCTGATCATTCTTTCTCTTGCTTGTTTTTTTCTATTCTGCAAATTGCTTAAATGTTGGGTTTTCCTAAAAAATCTACTATTGCCCTCCTTTCTTTCTTGCTTTAAGTGCTGAGGTTTTTATCCTTTCTGGTTTTTGGTTGGTAGGTCTCTATCCCTTCCTACACTAATTTCAAAAGAACTAGTAGATGGTATGAACATGGCCACCACAGGGAAAGACTTACAAAGGGGGTGGGGGTACAGATTATATCATGTGGTTTATAAAAACCTTTAGGAGCATTATATAAACTATGGCAAAGAAAATAATGTTTTATTATCTGAATGTGTTTCAAGTGGGAACTAACCCATGGCTGACCCTCCAGTGGGTTTTCACAGGCTGGCAGTCGCACAGGAGAAGTCTTCCTGTCATTCTCTCAAGGAGAAGCTGTTGGATTTGAACCATGTACCTTTGCGTTGGCAGCGAAATTTCCTATCAACCACCAGAACGTTAAACTTTCACTGCCACAGTATTCCAATTAAGTTCCTGCAGCGACATAGTTAATATTTCCTGCCACCTAGTGTTCATACAGGATATTGCAAGTGATAGAGCTCTGGTGGCCTCTTGGGTAAGTGGACAAAGACTCCGAATGACAGGAGAATCAATGCCTTTGAATTATGGTGTTGGAAAAGAGTGCTGATTTTCTCATGGATTACCAAGAGAACAGACAAATATGTCTTGGAGAACATGCAACCCTTGGTGCCCCTTAGAGGCAAGAAGGGCAAAAACTACATTTCACGTATTTTGGCATGATATTAGGAGGGGCCAATTGTGGGGAAAAGACATCATTTTGTGAAAGGTCAGCAAAAGAGAAGATATTCAACAAGGTGTACCGACACAGTGATTGCAGCATGGGCTTAAGTATATCAGCGATGATGAGGATAGCCTAGGATACAGCAAAGTTCAGATCCCTTGTTCACAGGGTCACTATGAGTCATCAACCTGGAGAACACCTGATAACAGTGAGTGAGGAGTTACGTCACAGACCCAAGACAGGTGATTCGAATCTAACAGCTGCTCCACAGGAAGGAGGCATTTCCTCCACTGCTACTTACAGTCTCCGAAATTACTTTATCGGGATTTGTCCCTTGTGTTTAGTGAGCTCTGGTGGCATAGTAGATAGAGAGTGGTGCTGCTAGTCTAAAGAAGGTGCCGCTCTTATAGTTCGAATCCACCTGCAGTTCCATGGGAAAAAAGATAGACCGTCTCCTCCCGTGTGATTCACAGCCTCGGAAAATTTGCTGAAGGGTCAGCTATGAGTCCATCTTTACTCAGTAGTATATACCTGTGGGGACAGGGGCAGAGAATTCACTGTTGTTTAATAATAAATTGCAGTGAGAGGAGATGACCCATCTTTCTCCCTCTAAGCAGTTGGTGGATTCGAACCACTACAGACGTGCGGCCTTTGTGTTGGTAGTGCAACTCCTTACCCAGGAAGCTGGAGGTGTGTTGCTAACTTAGAGGCTGTGCCTTTCAGGCAGCTTGAATGTGCTCCACGGGAGAATTTCTCTGATACAGAAGCATCTGAAACCTGCTGCAGAGTCAGCTATGAGTAGGCTCCAGCTCAATGGCAGGGAGTTTTGTGGGCTGCAAATAGAAAGGATTTCAAGGCAGCTGGAGCCCACCAACTTCGCCTCAAGAGAAAGATGAGTTCTTCTCCCCTTAGGAATTACAGTGGGGGGTGGGGGAGAAGGTGGAAGATGAATTGCCTTGGAACCTGGAAGAGGTTCAGCATAAGTCAGAACTGACTTGAGGACAGTCATGGGGATGGGTGGAAGGAGCTCTTACGGAGCGGTTAATGCTTATAGCTGCTAACCGAAAGATCAGCATCCTAAACTCACCAGTCACTCTGTAGAAGAAAAATGAGGTGGTCTGCCTGTATAGAGGCAGCGCTGGTGGTGGAGTCTGCCAGCACTGCTTACTCAAAGGCCATGTGTCTCTGGTGGTGAGAATCCACCAGCTGCTTAGAAGGAGAAAGATATGTCGTCTCCTCTCATTATGATTTATCACCTTGGAAACCTGATGAACAGTCACCATGAGTTGAAACTCACTCAACAGCAACGAGTGTATATTGGAAACCCTAATGGCTCTTCTTGGTCCTGTAAGATTGTTAGGAGTCATATTTGACTCAATGGCAGTAAGTTTGGGTCTGGGGTCTTTTAGAGGTCTGGTAGCCTCGTGGGTTAGGCATTGGGCTGCTAACTAAAGGGTCGACTGTTTGAACCAACCTGCTTTTCCTTGGGCAAAGGAAGTGGCAGTCTGCTTCTGTGAAGATTTATAGGCTTGGAATCTCTCTGGGGCAGCTCTGCTCTGCCCTCCAGAATCACTGTAGGTCAAGATTGACAGGATGGCAGGAGATCTGAGGTATGGAGATCGAGTGGTGGTTAACACTCAGCTAACCAGTAACTTGGTGGTTAGAAGAACACAGTTCTACTTTGATAGACATAGGGTTAACACAAGTCAAATTCGTTTTGACTAACAGAAAATCAGTATGTCTTACAAAAAAAAATCCACCAAAGGGAAAAATATCCAATAAATTAAATGTCTAAAAATATTAAAATGACCCCTGAGGGCATATTTAGAGGAAGTCTGGTGGTTTAGTGGTGAGGAGTTGCACTACCACCCAAAGGCAGGTGGTTCAAATCCTCTAGCTGCCCCCTGGAGAAATATGGACAGGCTCCTCCCGTGTGTCTTACAGCCTCTGAAAACCCACTGGAGAGTCAGCAATGAGTCAGTTCCGACTCGACCATACATAGCATAGCAACAAATAATGCCATCTTTACCTCGACTTTTGTACTTTCCCCTGCATGGGTGCATCCTCTTCCCGTCACTGTTCTGACCAAAGAAAGTTAAAGTATTTATCTGTTGTTCCTTTTAAAAAAATTAATTAATATAAGTACATAGATTATAAAGTCCAATAGTTTCACAAAGTTTATAATAAAGACAGCATTCCTCTGCACCATTCTCTTCACATCCCTAACTCCTCCGTCTCAGGATGAGTACATTTAATTGCTAGTCATTTTTCTAATATGTTTTCACTATTCTGAATAACATTCTTATATTGCTTTTTCTTAATTTTTAATTATATTATCTCTTCCTTTTTACTATGAAAGATAAAGATTTGCCTCCTCGTGCTGATATCATTAAGTCCCAGAAATAATTGTATAATGACAGTATCAATATTATTTGTAGCAAAGTCATATTGAAAAATTGACCATCCGGTAAAAAAATACCATCAAGTAAGCTCTGGTTCACAGTGATTCTGTGTGTGAAGAGTTGGCAAGGGGGAAGAAGGGTGTCAGTGAGAGAGATTGCCACGGTGACTGCAACAGTGAGCGTGAGAGCACAGTGGAGATCATAAATACAATGCAGGATCAATCTCCATTCTCTGTAATGTTTCTGTGAGTTGGAGTTCACTGGATGGCACATAACAACAAAACCAACCTGGGTAGTGCTCCAGAGGGTTTTCAGGGGCTGATTTTTTTTTTTTTTTTAGAACTAGACCTTTCTCACCCAGTGTCTCTCGGTAGATTAGAGCCTCCACCTTTTGGTTGGAGCAGCACTACTGGGGATCTACAGACACAGTGTTTGTTGAGCTGCTGCTCTGAGTTCAGGATTTAAGCTCATATATGTCTTATTCATAAGCACAGGTGCACAGATGTGGGTGTCAGGATGGTTTCTTCTTTAGAGAAGATAGGAAAAGTAAAGTAAGCCACTTCTGAAAACTCAAGCACACCTTGTTTTCATAATGAGAAAAGATGATGTTTTGGAAACTTTTCCCACCATTTAAAAATGGAAGAAAATAATAGACTGAAACATTAAGGTTTATCAAAGGAGAAATGTCAAGAATGTGGGTTGGTTTCTTTTCCAGGGGCTTTGTGGGTGTGCATCATTTTAAATCCACACTGCAAACTGGAGGAAAAATCCTGCTGGCTGCTGCAACTGCAGAAGTGGAGTGACCTTGATGTGTGTCCCCTGGAGGACGGGAACTATGGGCATGAGCTTCCCAACATCACCAATGCGCTTCCCCAAAGTGCCAATCACAGCCCAGGTGAGCCAGGTTTCCTTTTATGCTTTTTGTGCCTGCAACTCCAAAAGTGGGAGGGCAAAGCCCTGGAACAATGGTGACTAGACAGCTTTTTGGCTGTCAGAATAGTAATCTTGAATAAGAAAAATCTGTCCTCTTGTTCATCTTAAAATGCCAAACCTTAAATAAAGCTATGCTTTTATCTTTGATGCTGTCCTTTTCCACATGGAGTGCCCGGAGTAAAATCCTGTAGTCCTCTGCAGAAATAGCTAACCTTCAAGTTCTTCATGTATAATGCATCTTGGCCTCAGTTGGAATTGGTTTTTGTCTCAGAAGACCTACTCAAGGGAGGGATAGAGGGCTGGTAAAAAGAAGCTTTAAAATGTGTCCAAACAATAGCCTTTTTCACATTTTGGTTTTCTTCACATTTTTATATAGCAGATAACTGGAAGGGGATGTCCTCTCAGTTTATTATAGGATTCCCACTCCAGGAGTCCTGACTTTTCAAGACAAAGCCAGTACCATGATATTGTACCCTTTGCCTTTTGAGCTCACTGGCCTACAGACATCACTGGGCATTATCACTCTAGTTATCAACATCAGTTCTATCTAGTTCATATAACTCAGGGGTTTTTTAAATGTTGGCAACTTTTTATTGGTAAGAGATTTTTATCTGACACTGAATTTGTATGTGGTCCTTTTCTTTTAGGTGATATAGCTGTTGATATTTTTATTTCAAGAAGCAAGTCACTTAATTCTTGTACTAGGCTTCATCTATATTTGCTATACCTAATTGGAATCAGTGTATTTAAGGCATCTAAGGTAATGAAAGACAAGGTAATTAGAGATGAAAGACAGCAGTTTTGTGACTTCTTTAAGCTGCCCTTTTCCTGTAAGTAATTTAGTCTCCACAAGGTCAGAAGTCAGTACTAGCTTTGGATGGTGGTTGTTAAATACTTTCAAGTCCACTGTGACTCATAGTGACCCTATGAACAACAGATCTGCACCTTGCCCCATCTGTGCCAGCCTCACTATCGCTGATATACGTGAGCACATTGATACAGTCACTGTGTCCATCCATCTTGTCAAAAGAAGACCAGATGCATATAAATAGTGCTCCCTAGATCTGCCTCTTCATTCCTTCTCATATATTGGTTCTTCATTCGCATGCATGTGGAGCAGTTTAAAATACCGTGGTTTACAGATATGCAAGGGAGTATAGAGGAAGCTCACACTCACTTGCTTTAAGAGTGGATCTGAAGGACACTTGGCCAAGGGCAGCACACATCAGGTCCTCGTGGCTGTCAGGACTGGCTGACCCCAGCTTCCAGCTGGAAACAATGGAGGACTCTCCAATGATTCAGATCTCCCAGAAGAGCCATGGGTGAGCATTAATATTGCTGTTAAGTATATCTGTTTTCTGCTGGACACATGAGCCTATATTTGGCCATAAAAGCCTTCTCGGGTCCCATCTCTTCCTGCTATTCCTTAGTTGTTGGAATTGACGGAAAACCTCATAAGCAGTTCTTTACTTCACCTCTGCCTTGCATGTGGCCTTCCTAGCTGTAAAACAATCCAGTGGTAAATGGGAGCTAGTCCAGGACTTAAGAACAATAAATAACATAGTTGTGCCTCTACATCTTGTGGTTCCTAGCCCTTTCAAAGTGCCAGCCAATAAGACTTTTATTTTAAGGAGTATCTTCCCTCTGTAACTTGATTTGTGTCATCGTTAGAATCTCTAAGTGGAATATTATTGCTTTTCATTTTGACTTATGTACTTTTAACTTGTTAGTTAGACTGCAACACTTCCATGATGCATCTTCAAGGATATGAACATGTATCCCTAAGCACAATTGATAACAGTGCATCTAAATTCCAAAATCAATCTCCATAATAGTCTATGTGTTTCCTACTGCCAAAGGGCCCTTTAGAGTAGTGAGAGAAGATCTTCACCCTGAAACCTACAGCGTCCCTTTTCAGCAGGAAGTAGTTAAGAGAGTCCGCCGCCCCATTTTCCTTATGAATCAGGGTGAAATCTCTCTCAGGGAGGAGTGACAGGGAATGGCAAAGGATGCATGGACAAAAGAGATTAATCAGAACTGGTTTTGATGGGGACTATGGCAACATGACAATGGAAGCTCAGGGAATGCTGCTTTACTAGAAGTATTTTTGTGAACTTATTTTGCTTTCGTGGTTACATTTGTTTGATTATGTATAAAGGATTAAGAGACAAGGAAGAATGAACCCTGAAGAAAAGAAATTATGCTCATCTTGATGATCTCAAAATTATGATTTAAACAAAAGAGGGGGAAATGAGGGAAGCCGAATATCAAATTTACTAATAGTAGACCAAATGCTATATCAGGAAATGAGGGAGGCTTAATACAAGCTGAAGGTCACCTGGTGGTGCTAAGGTGTTCCCTAAGAGTCAACATTGTTCTTAGTTTGTATCAATTGAATCCCTCCCTCCTGAGATTAGCAAAAAGAGGAACTTGGCCTTATCTGTAAAAGACTTCACCATTATCCTTTGGTTTTGTTTTGTACTTCCTTATGATTTTACTTTGTTTACCTTCCTTATGATTCTAAATAAATACTCAGAGAAGCATGGCTTGGGGCCTTCAGTCATGGGAACTGTTGGCCCCCTGTTTTTCACACTCTGTGTTCTATATCATTTAAAAAAAAAATACTGGGTTTTAGGTCAGGTATACCTTAGTTCTCAAAGTGACATTTTTGCTTCTTAAAACTTTATAGGGTCACTATGAGTCGCAAACGACTCGACGGCACATAACAACAACAACAACAACAAAACTTTATGTCATTTGAGTCCTTGACTGCTGCTTCTGTGGGTGTTGATGGTAGATTCAAGAAAAGTGAATTTAAAAAATATTTTCTATCCTTTCTCCATATATCATGATGCTATTTATTGATTGTGGAAGTTTTTATAATTCCAGTCCTTGCTCCACTTATCATGAAGTTGTTTATTGGTTGTGAAGGTTTTTGTTTTCTTTATTCTGAAAGTGTAATCTATACTCAAAACTGTTTAACTGTTGTTGTTGTTGTTGTTAAGTACTGTCAAATCATAGACAACTCATAGCTACCCTCTCTGAGATTTCCCAAAAGGAAATAAAGCCACAGGTATGGGGAACAGGACTTCAACTCATATTCTGGGGGAGACAGTTCAATTAATAAGACTTCCTAACTGCTTCCATTTCTACTCTTTCATCTTATAGTCTATTCTCAATACTGCTGCTAGAGTTCGCCTTTTTAAATACAAATCTAATCATATTTGTTCATGTTAAAGATAGCCAGTTACTCATCTTACTCATAAAGCCTAAGACATCTTTCACTAATGGCCTTCAAGGCCCTCCATGACCTGTTGTTGTTGTTAAGTGCCATGAGTCAAGTACAATTCGTAGCAACCCTATGAACCCCCATGCCATCACCTCTGATGTACCTGAGCCCATTGTCACAGGCACTGTGTCAATCCGTTTCATAGAAAGTCTTCCTCTCTTTCACTGATCACCTTTCCAAGCATGATGTTCTTTTCCAAGGACTAGCCCCTTTTTACATGCCTACAATATGTGAGACAAAACTTAACTATATGTGCCTCCCAGGAGCACCCTGGTTGGAATTTCTCTAAGACTTACTTGTTGATTTGGAAGTCCATAGAATATTCAGTACTCTTCTCCAACACTGCACCTCAAAGGCATTAATTCTTCCATCATCCTTAGTCCTTGTCTACTTTTCAGATGCATAGCAAGTAATTGAAAAGACCATGGCTTGAATTAGATGCACTTTGGTCTTTAAAGTGACATTGTTGCTCCTTAACACCATACAGAGTCCTTGACAGCTGATTTACCCAATGTAACATGTTTGTTGATTTCTTTTTAAAAAAATTTTTTTTTAATTTTAACAAAAATTTACAGAGGCTTTGGATTTCCATTCATTCATTGTTGCACTTTTCTCCCTGCCCATCCCTCCCCCCATCTCTTGATTTCTTTTTTTTTTTCTCTCTCTTGAATTCTTAACTGCTGGTGCCACAGGTGTTGATTATGGATCCAAGGAAGATGAAAACATTTACAACTTCAGTCTTTCTCCATCTATTATGATGCTTCCCATTGGCCTAGTGGTGAGGATTCTTGTCTTCCCATGTTGAGATGTAGTCCATAATGAAGGCTGTAGTCTTTGATCTTCTGCAGCAAATGTATTAAGTCCTCAGAGCTCTTTGCAGGGAGCTCTGATGGCCTAGTGGTAAGAAGCTGTGCTGCAATCCCAAAGGCATGTAGTTTGAACCACCAGCTGTTTTGTGAGAGAATGGGCAGTGTCCTCCTGTACAATTAAATGCCTTGGAAAACCCATCAGAAGGTCAGCTATGGGTCAGTTGTGACTTGATAGCACACACCACAAGCTTTTGGCAAGCAAGGTTGTGTCATCTGCATAAGTAGGTTGTTTATGAGCCTTTCTCTGATCCTGATGCCACGTACTTCATAAAATCCAGCCCCTACTCGTACTATCTCTCTCTTATCTCTTATGATTCTTCTACTTACTCATTCCATTCTAGTTATACTTGCCTCCTTGCTGTTCTGCAAACTTCAAATATGCCCCATCTAAAAACCTGAGCATGTACTGCTTCTTCTGGAAATCCCTTTCCTTAGTTATCAATAAGACTTGCCCTGAAATTCCTTTTTATATGTGTCCAAGTGTTATTAGTCTATTTTATATGAAACAGTAAGCTACCCCCAGTGCCAACACCTCCTCCCCAAGTTTGCTACTTTATTCTCTGAAGTAGCCATAACAATCTAACGTATTATTTGCTCACTTGTGAAACTTCCTCTCTCCACTTGAATGTAAAGATTTATAAAGGCAGAGATACTCCTGGCATCTAGAACAGTACCTGCTTTATGGTAGACAATCATTATTTTCTAATTTAATTCATTACAAGACACATTGAGAGTCCAGTCATCATTGTGGGCTAAGCAGAACAGAGTTGTGATGCATTTCAGTTAAACTACTCCAGTCTAGAAGAGTGAATACCAGCAGTGATCCTTTACATAAGGAAGTCAAGGAGAGAAGCCGGAGGGCAGGGAGGGAGGGGAAATGGAATGGCCTATCATGCCCCAGTTGTGTGAGCTTTAGGCTTCTGGGACTAATCCGTCCTTTATTTCATTTCATGTTGACTTCTTGAGCCAGTGAAGAGAGAGGCAAATACTCCATTTTGTAGAAGGAACACTATACTTTTCTTTGAGGTACAACATGCCCGAGAAGCATTTCAGTAAAGACGGAGAGTACTATTTTGATGAGGTTTTTGTTGGTTGCTGCAGAGTCAATTCTATGTGACAGAATAGAACTGCCCCAGAGGATATTTTGACTTTAATCTTTATAGAAACTTTTCATGCAGAGCCAGAAATATAGTCCCTGGGTAGCTTCAAACCACCAACCTTTCCAAGGTTGACCAGAGTACTACCAGGGATTCTGTTTTTTATAATAACATCCTTTAATATGTGAGCCCATATCCAGTTTTGTTGTTGTTGTGTACCATCGAGTCAGAACTGACTCATAGCTGACCCATCAGGGGGTTTTCAGAAGCAGTTAATTGCATGGGAAGAAATTGCCCATTTTTCTCCCACAGAGCAACTGATGGATTTGAACCATGTACCCTTGAGCTGCCAGTGCAACTCTTTATTATTAGGCCACCGTATACAATAGGATATATCAAATTATTACTTTAGATTCCAAGGATAGGATTTTTACTGAGTAGATGAATGTATTAGTTTCTTTGCTGTTCAATCTGAATTCCCTGACTTCTCTCCTCCAGCCCCATTTCTTGGTACCGGTTCATCAGATGTGCACTCCATTTGGGCATCTCCAGAACTATATAATACTTCAATTCTCAATCTCAAAACTATTTGAACTGCCTTAGTCTGGCAGAGAGTCAGGCTCTGCGTGGTTTTTCATTTCCTTAAATGCCATTACTATTGTGCATAGTTTTTGATGGTGTAACTTTCATTTAATCCACCAGCTGCTCTACAGGAAAAGGATGGGCAGTCTCCTCCCATGCAATGTAATGTCTCTGAAAACTGCTCGCAGGTCAGCTGTGGGTCAGTTCTGTTTCAGCACCACACAGCAACACACCACATACTTTGTCTACTTTGTCCATAGAAGTCCTTTTCTTGAAGGGATGTGGTATTATAAGATACCAAGGAGAGACTAAGTTAGTCTTCTGACAACATCCATTTTTCTTATTGTGGAACAAGAGTATAAGTCGGGCTTCAACTCTTTATCAGTTTTTAATATTAATTTCCTGAAACTCCTTAGTATAATAAAGATCATTTTGTGAGGAAAGTTCTAAATTGACTAGAGAAGTTACTCAACAGCTTCTCTCTGCCTCTGAGGAAATTGTATCATCTACTGAGTAACTGAGCACCATGTTGCCAAGAAGGATCAATCCTTGGAGAGGGTCTTCATGCTCTGAAGGGTGGAGAGTCAGTGCAGGAGAGGAAAACCCTGGATGAGATGGATCAGTAGCTGATATAATGGGGTTAGGTGTGTCAGAGATAATGTAATTGGCTCACGATAGGTCAAGATTCAGCGCTATTGGTCATAGGGTCTCTGGGAATGGTAGTTGACATGAGAGCACATAACTCTCTCTCTTTAAGAAAGTTATTCCCCAAAGAATGCATAGACACTCTGCAAATTTATTTAAAAAAAGAAAAAGCAGCAATATAGCAAATACTGAGATGACAAACTGGGCAAGTAACAGCTCACCCTTAACCAGTACTATTTCCTTGCTCACTCCACCACTCCACCTCCCACCCCCACATCCTTTTATCCCTAACAAATACATAGGAGCTAGAGCTGCAGAATGCTCATCATTGGATTGTTGCACTTCTTTCTTTCCTCAGATTCTTTATCCAGACCAAGAAGAACAGTATTCACGAGAGCCATCGAAGGGCGTGAATTGCACTGGCAGGACAGCCACTTACAGCGAATAATCAGCAGTGATGTATATACAGCTTCTGCCTGCCAGCGAGAAAGCGAAAGATTACTCTTTAATTCTCAAGGCCAGCCCCTGTGGCTTGGTAAGTCTCTCACTCCTCTTCTTGGACAAGCCAGCACCAACCATAAATTGTATGTTCTTCACACAGATCTTGCAAGGCTTTGCAAGGGCCGCGGGTTTTTTATGTGATGCCTCAGCGATTTGTGTATGCACTTGGTTGAAATACTGTAGCATCAGATGGAGGAATTGTTATCTTGTCATTTCAGTTCTGAAAAGAGAAAGAACTTAACAAATCTCAAAGAGTACTAACAAAACCACTAGACATTGGCTCACAGGATCTCGGTTAATAGTTACTGATCAGCATTATAATTGACATTAAAATTGTATATTTTGCTTAAAAACCACTAAGCTTGAAACTTAAATTACCCTGTAACTGGGACAGAATCTTTATTTCTCACCAAGCAGTCTTCCACTTCATTTTCCCACTTTCTCTCTTCCCCTTTATCATAACAGGATAAAGCTATTCCACCTTGAGTTTGAATCTCCATCTGAAATGGTTTAGCAGCATGACCTTTTAGCACCTCTTTGACATTATGAGAATACCCACTCCAAAATATAGCTTTCCTTTTTTTTTTTTTTTTTTGGAGGCTCACAACAATGGCATGCATTTTTACTCTCTGTTCCCCAAACCCTCACCCCATATCTTTGTCTTTCTCAGTATCTTCCTACATCTGGATATGTCTCAGTCTCGCTCTTACCAGACTTGACTAGACTCACTGCAGGTACTGCCTGACATTCCTTTGATCTTTCCTCTTCTCTGATTCAGTGCTTATAAAACATAGATCAAATAAGCATGTGAAAAATATATACTTCATTAGCAATCTAACATGACTATATAGTAAAAGAGTTGTAAATTATCATTGTTTGGTTTTCAAATGGTCAGAGATTTTTAAAATAAAGACAAATAGTGTCTGGTGTGGAAAAAGTTGCCTGGAAATGAGTGTATATTGAGGGGGTTTTTTTCCCATTTTTATTTTCCTTTATTTTACTTAAGTGTCTGTCCAAGGACAGTGTTACAGAATGAACATGAGTTGTTCTATTTTTTTAGAGTTTTGTTTTGTTTTATTGGTTTGCTTACAAAGTTTGTATACATTGTGTTTCACACTATTCTTCATTCATATTGTGTTTCATACAATCACTCGCATGCATTATGGTTTATAAAATTAATCACCATTGGGCCTTGGTCATAATTACCCTGTGGTTTTGCCTGAATCCTTCCCATTTACTAGCACCCCCTCCAGTGAGTGTAAATTCTTATAGCCTTTCTGAAGGAGATTTCAGCAACACTAGTCAAACGCCTTTAAAGTACATTCATACTCTTTTAAATCAAGGATTCTACACCTAATGATTTATCCCAAAGCCATAATTAACTAAGGATATGCATAAACTAGGGGTTCATTAGGGCATGAATATAAATAATTTACAGATGGGAAAATTAGAAGCAATTCAAATGTTCAATAGTGAGGCAAGTGGGGTAAAGGAAAAGATAGTATGTTTATTTAACTGAATGATATGTCACCATTCCTAATGTTACAAATGTGTATTTAATGGAATGCAAAGGTATTTACAATGTGTGTTATTAAGTAGAAGCCTATAATAATACAAAATAATAAGTAAAATATCAAACATTTTTATTAGAAATTGAATAAAGTCTGGATAAATATTCATGAAATTAGAAATAGTGTTTAACTCTGAGTAATGAAATTACAGATTGTTTTTATTTGCTACCTTTTTATATGTTCTAATTTTCTTTAATTACATCTATAATTTTTATATCATTTAAAAAATAAATTCTAAAACTCCTTATAATCACTCCACCATTTTTAAGTCTTCCAGGTCTTCCCTTACCTCAAAGGTAAACCCAGATTCCTTGGTATGATATTCAGAGCTCTTCACTTTTCTAGCCTCTCTCAAGTTATGTAAGCTAACTCTAGCTCACTGAACTAATTTACCATACTCTGAAGCTGATAGAGTGTTATCATTTATACTTTAATGCTTTTGCTTATAAATTTCCTTTACCAAAAATACCTTTTCTTTTTTGTCTATGTTTTTATCCATCAAGGCTGAGCTCAGATGTTATCCTTACTCTGTAGATATTCCTGTAATGTTATTTCTTCTTCATTGTTTTGTTGTTATCTGTTTATTATAATTTTTGAGCTCTGGGATGTCAGTGACTATTTCTGTTCAACTTTTTATTCCCATTGCCCAGCATATTACATGGCATATAATGGATTTTTTCAGGTAATCTAAGATTAATAATGAGTAACATTTCCCCTTTTAGGCAGATAGTTAGTTCCTTCCTCAAGATATCCATAATGCACATTCACAAAGTAGTATATTTCACTACTGCCTCTTCCTATACCATGGTCTTTAAGGTATCTCTCTCTCAAGGTTGCACATATAATCAATTCAACTTATTTCTTTAATAAATAAAGCACAGCTGCTGGTCCACAATAGAAATCAGGTTTAATTTGAATAATTGAACTCGACTGAATAGAGATTCTCCTTATCACGTGTTCATTTTCCTAGTTTGAAATTTTAATCCAGCACAACTTTCTTCTTGCCCGGCAGAGCATGTGCCTACAGCCTGTGCCCGGGTGGATGCCCTGCGTTCCCATGGTTATCCGAAAGAGGCCCTCCGGCTCACAGTGGCCATTATCAACACTCTGAGACTACAGCAGCAGAGGCAGCTGGAAATCTACAAGCATCAAAAGAAAGGTATAATGATTAGAGGACATCTAAAGCCCTGAGGCATGAGACTGATGAGGATCTTTGGGGGATGCAAGGCCTAGTACAGGCTGTCCCCCAGGGTTGCCAACTTCAGATTCACACACATCATACTTGCCCTTTAATGTTATGTAAATTTGCCCTCACTTTGAAACAGTTGAACCAATCCCTATTCACAGTAGAGTCGTCATCATAATCACCTTCACTTGCTGCACATGCAGCTTTTAAAGAATTTAAAAGTCTTTCAGCCTTCTCTTGAACTAAAAAAAAAAAAAAAAAAACCAAACAAAAAAAACCCCCATACAACCCTCAATGCCTTCAAGTCAGAACTGACTGATAACTGATCTTCTAGCAGGTTTTCAGAGGCTGTAAATCACAGGAGGAGATTGCCCTCAGAGGAGGTGGTAGATTTGAACCTCTTGCCTTTCAGTTGGCAGTGCAATTTATTACCCATTGTTGTTTTGTGCTGTCAAGTCAGAACCACCTTTGCAGACCCTCTGCAAGGTTTCAGGGGCAGTAAATCCTAAGAATGGAGATCGCCCCTTTTCGTTCTTTCGGCACCACCATGGTGGTCGGCAAGAACAAGCGCTTTACAAAAGGTGGCAAAAAAGGAGCCAAGAAGAAAGTGGTTGATCCATTTTCTAAGAAAGATTGGTATGATGTAAAGGTGCCAGCAATGTTCAGTATAAGAAATATTGGGAAGACATTAGTCACAAGGACTCAAGGAACCACAATTGCATCTGATGGATTCAAGGGTCATGTTTTTGAAGTGAGCCTTGCTGACTTGCAAAATGACAAAGTTGCATTTAGAAAATTCAAGCTAATTACTGAGGATGTTCAAGGCAAAAACTGCCTCACCAACTTCCATAGCATGGATCTTACCCGCGACAAAATGTGCTCCATGGTCAAAAAATGGCAGACCATGATTGAAGCACATGTTGATGTCAGAACCACCGATGGTTATTTACTTCGTCTATTTTGTGTTGGTTTTACAAAAAAAAAATGCAACAATCAGATTCTGAAGACATCTTATGCTCAGCACCAACAGGTCCACCAAATCTGGAAGAAAATGATGGAAATCATGACCCGAGAGGTGCAGACAAATGACTTGAAAGAGGTGGTCAATAAATTGATTCCAGACAGCATTGGAAAAGACATAGGAAAGCCTTGCCAGTCTATTTATCCTCTCCATGGTGTACTTGTTAGGAAAGTAAAAATGCTCAAGAAGCCCAAGTTTGAATTGGGCAAACTCATGGAGATTCATGGTGAAGGTGGTAGCTCTGGAAAAGCTACTGGAGATGAGACAGGTGCAAAAGTTGAATGAGCTGATGGCTGTGAGCCACCAGTTCAAGAATCTGTTTAAAACTTAGCCTTTGAGTAATTACAAATAAAAATTACTATTTGTGAAAAAAAAAAAAAGAAAGAAAGAAAGGAGATTGCCTATCATTCTGCCCTGCAGTGGCTTGTGGATTTGAACCATCAGAACTTCGTGCCTTTGGCAGTACAACTCCTTACCCACTAGGCCACCAGAGCTCCCTCACTGCCCACTATATGACCTAAATAAGAACCATTTGCACCTGCTCCAGTTTACCTACAAATTCCACTTAAAGACTTAAAGACATAATTAGGAACTGATCTTCTTTGTGACCTGGGGATTGCTTATACTTAATTTTTAGGAAGTATTATAAAGTGGATGTGGCTTACAAGTTAGAGGATTTCAAGTTATTCCACCTGCTATGTGACCTAGAATAGCTCACTTTACCTCTCTGAAGTTTACCTTACTCATTTGTAAAATGGAAATAATATACGGGTGTCTCCCTTACAGGACAGTTCTAAGATTTGACATAAGAACACCCTTTTAATGTATGTATTTGTGCACATTGCCAGTCTTAAATCTTTGCCATCAAGACAGAACTGACACAGAGTTGACCTTCCAGTTGATTTTCAAAGGCATTAAATTGCACAGGAGGAGACTGCCCATCTTTCCCCTTTAGAGTGGCTGGTGAACTTGAACCTCCATAGAGGCCATGTAACGCCCAATGGACTATCCCACCAACTCCCTTGCACTGCCAGTGGACACCTTAAATTCAAATCACTAGTCCTTTGAGCCGATTAGTGAGTTTCTTACCAGTATGGTCTTAAGACAATAAGGGTAGGTTTTCTTTAACTCAAAGCCTGAAAGAGACTGAAGAGAAGGCCTCAGCAGGGACATAAAACAAGCTATTCTTTCCACCCCCTAAGTTCCATAGTCACTAGAGAATTGCACTGCTAACCCAAAAGTCGTGCCTCTCTAGCTGTTCAAATCCACCAGTGGCTCCATTGGAGAAAGATGGACACTATCATGCTATATGACTTACTGCCTTTGAAAATCACTGGCATGGCAGGTCAGCTGCGTCAGTGCTTACTTGGCAGAAATGAGGTGGGTTTTTTTATTTTGCTTTTTTGGGTTGGTTTTTGTTGTTTGGGGGGGGGTTTGGTGGTTTGGGTGTTTTTTTTCTTTCAGGTTTCTAAGTGTCTAATCTTCTTGCTTCCAGAGCTGTTGCAGAGAGGAACCACAACTATCACAAACCTAGAAGGCTGGGTGGGCCACCCCCTGGACCCTGTTGGCTGTCTGTTTCTCACTTTAACTGAGGCCTGCCGCCTGAATGATGATGGCTATCTGGAAGTGTCAGGTACACGGGTCAGCCTGAGACAAGCCAGGACTGCCTTTGGCAGCCTTCTCCTTCCTACTGGACTCTGCTCTGTCCTCCCGAAGTCTTTTCTTCCTCCTGTCCGATCCCAACCGCTCCTGGGAGGGTTCCTTGGGCTTCCTCTCTTTCCCACCATCAAGCCTACTTTCATATTTGACTTTACCAGCCTTCCTTTGCTGCTTTGTTATTCTTCACCATACATGCTTGAGGAGTTTCGTCCTAAAGTAATAAGAAGAGAAGCTTTAAGAGTCAGGGACCAGCCAGGTCCTCAGAGCAGTCAGGAAAGGGGAGAGAATTTTCCTTTTAGTTATGCAGCACTTCTTGGTTTCCGTTGTATTTTCCCCCACAAGACTTTTTTTGAGCAAGTTTTACAAGTGAGGAAAAAATTTTACGTTAGAAAGGAGCTAGTAATTTTTATAATTGTGTAACTTTCCTCCCAGTATTTTTTTCCTTGCTGCCCTAGGGTTGTGACTCAGTTTCTCTCTGATAGCTATTAACCATGCTATCATATCCCAAAGGGAGCGGGCAAGAGGCACAGAGAGGTCTGCCTAGCCTAAGCATCCTGGTGCCTTGTTGCCCTCAGATATGAGTGAAAGCAGAACCCCTGTGTACCAGCATGTACCTGTGGCTTCAAGCTTCCCAAACAGCACTGAATCCTACCTGTCATTGGCCCTCGAAGTTGCTTTGATGGGAATGGGTCAACAGAGGGTGATGCCTGAAGGCCTCTACGCGCAGGACAAGGTGTGCCGAAATGAGGAGCAACTTCTGAGTCGCCTCCAGGAGCTGCAGCTGGATGACGAGCTGGTGCAAACCCTGCGGAAGCAGTGCATTTTATTGCTGGATGGTAAGTAAAGAGAAATCGTTGGAGCAGTGTCTTTGGCCATGACCCAGGACTCCCCTCTCTTAACACACCATTAAAGTAACATTTCTGGCACTGAGGTGTAGTGAAAATTCCTGTGATTAGCAGAGGCACCTAGGATCCTGGAGTTCAGGTCCAGGCTGATAAATGGAGCACACAGAAACGTAACTGGCACGCTTGTCTTTTTTTCTGCAGGAGGTCCCTTCAGTGGTCTGGGAGAAGTCATCCACCGAGAGAGTGTGCCCATGCATACCTTTGCCAAGTTCTTATTCTCTGCTCTGCTGCCTCATGATCCAGACCTGTCCTATAAATTAGCCTTACGTGCCATGAGGTGGGTGGCCGTTTCCCAGCCCCATTGCCTCCACCAACTCAGAAGTCTCTAAAGATTTTTTCTTTTATCTTACTTTCTTTTCTCCTTTTCTATCTATTCTTTTGGACCTCCCATCCAAGCCTGCCCTAAATAGCTCAAACTTTTTTATATCATCTAGGATTCTTATCTAGGGTTTCTTGCTGGTTGACCCACTTGACTCCCTGGCTGTACCCCCAGCAGGCTGTCTGGGAAGGCCAGATAAGAAGCACTCTAGACCTCGAGGGCAGCCTAGATAGCCTTAGAAGGGTCTGAGTACTTCCAGCATTCAACTGAGTCATGCATGGTTCCCCAGCACAGGTTCTCAGAGGGATCTGACAGAGGTAGTGGTAGGTTTGGTTGTATCTAGACTTAAGAACAATGCACTAAGTTGATCTTGTTTCCAAACCAGAATCATGTCCTTGGTTTAGACATTTGGGCATCTGGGATGCTGCAGACCATGCAGAATTTTAGAAAGACAAAGAAATTTTAGTTAGATGAAGATTGCTAAGAATTTTCAGGCATTTAAAGTGCCCAGGCACTTGCCTCAGATGGAGTACTGTATCCGTGTTGTTGGTTTTTTAACACTTTCTTACCCATTTTCTCAAAGAACATGCTTCTCTCTTAGGTGATTCAGAATAGCAAGGATCTAGATGGTGGCTGATGACTCTCCTTGGGTCTTCTAGGTTACCGGTTCTAGAAAACTCAGCTTCTGCAGGCGACACTTCCCACCCTCACCATATGGTGTCTGTGGTACCCAGCCGTTACCCTCGCTGGTTCACACTTGGACACTTGGAATCACAGCAGTGTGAATTGGCCTCCACCATGCTGACTGCTGCCAAAGGTGAGCATAGATAGACCTTAGACTCCAGCACTCCCACTGTGCCTGTCTGCCTGTAGTCTGTCAGAGGTTAAGTGCATTTTCCTGACGAAGAGAAGCTCTTCAGCCTCCCTTGACCAACAGGAGTATTTAGAATGCTGTCATTAGAAGAGCACCTAGGAATCAGATGACCTGGGCCCAAGTAAAATCTTTGCCCTTCTTAAAAATTGTAGGACCCTGAGTATATAGAATTAGATGATCTTTAAGGTCACTTCTAGATCTCTTCATCTTCTCTTCTAGAAGTCTCTTCATCTTCCCATGCCTCTGGTTTAAAAATCTATTTAAAAATTTCATTTTTGAGGATCATTTTCAATGGCCTGTCAACCATTTTAGAGCCATTGGAAGATATAGTGAAGTGATAACTAAGATATAGCTACAAAACTCTTTAAAGATAAGGGAATTTTTTGTTTTTCCCATGACCAAAAGACAAGCAGCCCAAAGTGTTGCTCAGACTTTTGATCTCATGGACTCCCTATCATCAGCTGTGGAGGTTTCACTATAAAGAGAAGTCAGAATTAGCCCCTGCCTGAGCTGCTGTAAGACACTAACTACCACACACCCCTGAGTATTTTTCATGGATTTTTTTGAAGCATCTTTTTCTATTAACAGTAACCTTTTGTTATCTTCTTGTTATGATACACACAAAACATTTGTTGTAGAGAATGGGGGGAAATACTGCAGAAAATATTCAGCCACAGTTGAGAAATGAGGATTATAATTACTGCAAGATAATTCCTCAGTCTTACTGAGAAAAATCAATAAATTCATAACAGCCATCCGTGTATGTGTGAGGGGGAATGGTGGCAGCAGTGGCTGGTATGAGGCATCGGATTCTGAGCAGGACATGAGGTGACTGTGTGGGAAAGGGCAGCCCAGTGGCAGTGACCAGCATGGTGTGTCAGCACAAGGGACTGAGGAAGACAGCTGTGTAGCCTGGCAGGGGTGACAGAGCTCAAGCAGGATAAGGAAGACACATGTTGAAGAAGAAGTAACAGTGACCCAATAAGGTGTGTCAGAATCCAAAGGGCATAAGGAGGGCTTTTGTACAAAGCATCAGTAGTGAACAACAGTAAAATGGTTGACATCATAAATGAATGATGATAACATATGTATATCATAAATAAAAAAGGGGTAAAGATCTTTTTCTTGACCAGAAAAGATAGTTAGAGATATGCAACATCAAAAGCTAGAAAGAATCTTCCTATATTGGGTTGAAATTGGAAGCATTAGTACAAACTCATGGAGATATACATACGTACATATATATACACACATATATGCATATACATACACATATATACACACATATATACATATATATACATATATATGTATATATATATATATATAAAATCACTGGTGATGTAGTCTATAATAAATTGCTCTGCTAACCCAAAGATGTCTCCATTGGTTCGAATCCACTACTATGAGTGTTGAGTCACTGTGAGTCAGAATCAACTTGACAGCACTGAGTGATGGAAGTAAATGGAGATGTATTATTGTTATTGTTGTTGTTGTGGTTGTTAGGTACCCTTGAGTCAGCTTCAACTCATAATGACCCTATGAACAATGGATCTGAACCTTATCCTATCCTGTGCCATCCTCATAATTTCTGTCATGCTTGAACCCATTGCTTCATTCACTGTGTTAATCCACCTCATTAAGGGTCTACTTCTCTTTCACTGACCCTCTACCTTTCCAAACATGTTGTCTTTTTCCAAGGACTCACCCCTCACAATAATATGCCCAATGTAAGATTAAGCTTAATCATCCTTGCCTCTAAGGAGCATACTGGTTGCAGCTTCTCAATGGCATATTGTTTGTCCTTTTGTTAGTCAATGGGATGGATAATCAGTACTCTTCTCTAACACAACTCAAAGGCATCAATCCTTATTCATTGTCTAACCCTCAGATGCGTAGCAGGAGATTGAAAAGACCAAAACTTTAATCAGGCACATCTTAGCCTTTAAACTGGTATCATTGCTCCTTGGCAATATTGGAAAGTTCCTTGACAGCATACTTTTCCAATGCAACATGTCTTTTGATTTTTTAACTGCTGCTATCAAGAGTGTTGATTGTGGATCAAAGTAAGATAAGCATTAACAATGTCAATTTTTTTCTCTTTCTCTCATGATGTTTTCTATTGGCCCAGTGGTGAGAATTTTTGTTTTCTTGATATTAAGATGTAATTTATATTGAAGGCTATAGTCTTTGGTCCTCTGCAGCAAGTGCTTCAAATCCTCCTCACTTTCAGCAAGCAAGGTTATGTCCTCCAATCTTAATATCACATTCTTCTTCATAAAGTTCAGCTTCTTGAATTAATTGCTCAGCATACAGGTTGAGTAGGTATGGAAAAAGGATACAGTCCTGATACATTCCTTTCTTGATTTTAAAGTGAATACATGCTGTATTCACTTGAACTATTCAGACAACAGTTTCTTAATCTATGGATGTGTGTGTCTGTGTCTGTGTGGGTGTCTGTGTGGGTGTCTGTGTGTGTGTCTGTGTGTGTGTGTGTGTCTGTGCGTGTGTCTGTGTGTCTGTCTGTCGGTTACTGAGAAGTCCTGAGAGCAGCAATTCCCAAATATCATGAACACGTCATGTAGGAACCAGTGCTGCTTACAGACATGAACTATTTTACAGATTTGGTAAGAAAAATACAAGATTAATCTGGAACACCTTGTTCCAGAAAGTAAAGACAAACTCAAAGAATAATGGAGACCTTTACCACTGGGAAAATCTGGGACAGTTTGAGCATCAACATAAATAACTGATGTCTGCTGCACAACTATTAAACATGCTGTCAAGTCACTTTTGACTCAGTGACTTAGAAGGACAGAAAAAAAAATAGAGCAGAGTACAGCTGTCCCATAGGATTTCCAAGGTCATAAATGTTTACAAAAGCAAACTTTCACAACTTTCTCCTGCTGAGAACCTGGTGGGTTCAAACAGCTGGCCCTTCACTTAGAAAACAAATGCTTAGTCACTGTACCACCCAGGCTCCTTTTTCTTAAAATTTTTAGCTAAAGTCCAGAATATTGACTGACAACACTAACTGCTCACGAAGATACAGAGCATCTGAAATTTTGTTTCTCATGAAAATGCAAAATTGTATAGTCACTTTGAAAGACAAAATGGCAGTTTCTAACAAACCTGGATATAAGACTGCCGTTCAATATAGCAGTCACTCTTTTAGAAGTGAGATGAAAACATAGGCCTACATAAAAACTTACACATGAATGTGGTGGAATTATTCCTAGTTGCAAAAAATTGCAAGCAACTCAAAGACCCTTCAGTAGGTAAGTGAACAAACAAAACCGTGGTACTTCCTAGAGTAATAATAGTAAAATCATTGCCCCAGGAAAAGACAAGGAGAGACGTCCATTCCTGCGGCTAAGTGGAAGAAGGGGAGCTCTGGTGGCAGAGTGTGTGAAGAGATGTGCTGCTAACCTACAGCCCCTGGCAGGCTGAATCCACTGCCTGTCTACACGAGAAAGGGCGACTCTCTCCTCCTCTATAATTTACAGCCTCAAAAGCCCAGTGGAGGGTCAGCCATGAATCACTTCTGACTCAGTGGCAATGAATATAAGGACATTTCTTTTTTTTCTTTTTTTAAATTTAGTTTGTTTATTTTTCATTTCAATGAACATCTACAGAGATTTTGGAATTCCATTCATTCATTGTTGCACCCTTCTCCCC